AATACTACTTATACAGTATTAGACAATAATACTGTTCTGGCTTACATACACATTTGACTTAAGGACAGACCTTGGGAATGGAACTGGGGACCACCTGTATACCAAACCAGGCTGAAGGTTTGGCTTGACATAAAAGGACCCTAAAATCTAGAGACCAGGATGTCTGACAGACCTCCTTCACTGTTACAGATCTAGTTGACAGCTAAGATTGTGCCTGAACCATACATTAAGTATCATGCAAGCAGCCTTCTTAGTAGCCACCCCTTTGTTCTGGAATGCTCTTCCTCCTGAAATTTGTGAGATGCTTCCTCTACCCCTTCCCTGTATAAATCTGTGCTATGTCTCTATTTCTGTCTTCCTTCTTTAATGCACTTTTTAAATTAAATATGGCATTTTATACTGTTTTAAGTGAATGTTTCTGTTCTGTTTTTAAAGTGTTAACTGCTTAGAGTTTTTAGTGGGAAGCTATAAATAAACTTGGCTGACAATAAGCAAATTAAAGAACCCTTCCATGTGTTAAAATATTATATTTGTTCTCATGATATCCAGTTATAGGAAATCACACTTAGGGTCAAGTTTCAAAACTGAACAGTCTCTCTTGCTGAGTGATGGTTCCTTCCCAAATGCCTACAGCCCTGCAAGCTCCATTTCACTGTCAGGAACAGTTTATCACCAATATATAGTATACATCAAGAACACATAATTTTTGGATCCCAAAAATTTAGATGAAGCCTCCAGAATGCCTCCAAAAACAGCCATCAAATTATTTTTTATATATCAAAAGAAAAGAATAATTAACTATGTGGGGAGTAATTGTATTAACTGTATGTCATTAATTTAATTTTCAATATATTCCAATTTAGCTTTTGAAGCTGCTTCTTTTTCCTAATATCTTTTTCTTTTTTCATTTTTCTTTCCTGCACTCTTATCTTTTATCTTAATTTTCTGCTTTATATTTTTTCATGTTACTTTTATTCATCTAAAAATTCTTTAATAAAATATATATATTAAAAAAAACCCAGCATGTCATTCAAAGGCTAAATTTGGTTTTTGGCTCAAAAAGTTTGCACAACACAGATTTTCATAGTGGCATAAAGACTGTCAAATTGGGGTGCGTTCAAATAAATTCTGAAGTTGAAACAATTTACATGCATCAAGGTCAAGGCTAATACAGATTTTTAAACTACATTTCATCATGATCTTTAAAGATTTTTGTAACTTGTAAGAGTTGCGTGATGTATTATAAAAACTAATGGTTTGTTACATAGCCTGCATTTCCTTGCTCTTATTCTATTCTGGGATGATTATTTTCTTTAATACCTTCCCACCTGTTGATTCCAAGAGAAATGAAATTATCTACCACAGTTCCAAGAGGGATACATAATTGTCCTGGATTCTGGCTGGAACTTCTTTTTCCCTTCCTGACATGGGAGCTCCTTCCTAAAACTCTTCCTCAGACAGGATTGGATCTTTCTTTTTAAAGACCAAGCAAGGAACTGCAATCTGAAGAGTACAAGTTAGCTGCACATACGGGGAATTTATGGGTCCTTCTTGGTCTCCTGAATCTGCCAATCAAATGGATGGACCCTGATGCTACTTATGAAAGAGGGAGAAAGCAAGAGTAATATTAGAACTCGGATTGCCCTGCCAAATGCCCACTGTGTCACCAGCTTACCTCTTTATAATTAGCTTTAGTTTCTTCTGGTGTCACTGTTGCCACTGGTGTTACTGAAGATAAACTGGAGGTGGATGATATTTGGCTGATGGTGTCCTCACAACATGGAGAAGATCGGACCGGTGACTAGTGGCCCCCACAAAGAAAGCAAAATGAGAAAGAGTTGGTTACATCCTGCATTTACATAACGGCTGATCAGCAGGATACCTTTAAGCTAAAAGTTGCCACCAGCACTTTCAGATTACCTGAGAAACACTCTGTCCTTTTTCAAAAGTGAGGAAGTTCAGCTCCATCAAGGATACAATCTGCAGATAAATTAAAACTCAATGAACAAGCAAGTGCAGATCTCAAGAAATTAATCAACTGGATATCAAATATGCTACCAGCAAATAAGAAATGAACTGAGTTCATATATGGTACTAAGTTATAACAAAGTCTGCTTTTTTATGCCCCAGCATATTGTGTGAACTCAACCATTGTGGCTTGTAAACCATGGTTTTGAACTCAGTGTTTTCTGCAAACCCAGCCAACTGTCGATTCAGGAGCTCCAGTTAAAGAAATAATGGCTTAGCCATAATATACAGAAAACATAGTTATGCTGGTCTATGATGGTAATAAAGATTTGATTTGAAAACATAGAGTTTCGTGACACTTTGAAAGCTAGCCAAATGTATTTTATTGTCATGTAGGTTTTTGTGGCTTCACAAAGATGTAGATATTCCTCATGCAGCTCATGTGTGTGTGTACACACCCACACTCTCTTTCTCTCTCACACATACACACACACACATAAATAAAACACAGCTGTGGCCTTTTTCTGCATTATCAGTCAGAAGCTATTTTTAAGTGGCTGTGCAAAGCTTTCTCCTTTTTAAAATCAAGTTCTCTTTAAAAATCAGAACAGAATAGGTTTTAAAAATGAGAGAGCGATAGAATTGATAAATGCCGACGGCCCCCATAAACAAATACACGTTGCATGCACGTATCAGAGGCAAACCAGCAACATTCCTATGTCAAAACCAAATAGAAATGATAATGAGGTGTTAATTATTGTTGGGGTTATTGCTAAAGCCCTGGCTCTATCCTGTCTGTAATTAAACAGTGAAAATACACAGGATGTCTTGGCTTCAAAAGAACTTAAAAAGCATCCTTAGAATACTGTAGTTAGCCAAAAAGTACCGTTGAATTTAATGCGCATTGCACAGGAGTCTCTTTCATCCGGTTCAGAATGCTTGGGCTAGCTCCATTCTGCAGGAGGACTTCAATAATTCCTTGGTAGCCCCAGCGGGCAGCTATGTGGAGGGGCGTGTCTCCTTTTTCATTACCAATGTCTAACTTGCAAGAATGGACATCATAATAAACCAGAGCCTTGACACACTAGAAAGTTAAAACAGAACAACAGGGATAAGACATTTGCATGAAAACAACTGCTTATATGCAACCTGATGGAAACTGCTGCTTTGCATTTTATCCAGCCAGAGAAAATGACTTAACTCTGCTATGCCAGGAGTGTTTGAACACAAAAATCTCTTCTCAGACAACATGCACGACAGGGTTAAGCACACCATGTGCACAATTCACACATTCTTCCATATAACAGAAAAGCAAGGAGGGCGACCGTTCTGAGCATGCTCTCAAGGCCTTTACCAGATTGTTACCTACAAAGCACCACGACAGCAGACCCACATTCAGGAGACACTCATCTCTTTATCCAGGCTTTATAATGTTTCTTCCATTGAATGCTTTAATTATTGCAATTTTATGCTAACACTATTGTATTTTAATGTTTTTAAAAGAAACCTGGTTAGTAGTGATGTCTTGAACATAGGAAATAGGGAGGAAGAGTGGTGTAAAAATAAAATAAATCAATTAAGAGTAAGTGTCTATGTTTTGTACCTGCAAGAATAACTGAAAACTTGATTGAAAAAAAAGCTAAAAGATTTGGAATTTGCTTACCCCTCAAAAGAGATAGAAAAGAAAGCTATGGTCCCAGTGACATTTTACCAATTACAGAACTGAAGGACACCTGCGAAAACTGCTGTTTTAGACAACCTACTTACATCTTCATGCCCATAAGCGCAGGCTAAATGAAGTGCGGTGTTGCCATTATTATCTTGGGCTTCTGTGCTGGACTTATAATGTAGCAAGAGGAGCTGAAAATAAAGAGGAAAAGCCAATGTTATTCAGAGAAGAAGTCAAAAGAGATTGGTATCTCCTGAGGGTCTTATCATTTCTGAAACCAAATGAAATTGCTAATGCCCAACTTCCCTTTTGGCTACCTGTTTGGACCAAGTTGCAAACCAGCATGAAAGCATTTCACTGTGCACTGTTGAACAACCAATACAGAGGTACCACCAAACTACTCAGGCCTCTCTACCCACAGGTAAACACTGCAGTAACAAGGCAATGCAAGGAAGCTTAGCTTTTCAAAGAAAAGCTACAGAAAATAAAGTTTCCTTCAGCTACATTAACACACCCTTTCTATCTGGCAAAATGTGACTTCAGCAGCGTAGCTGTACTTCAGAAAGTTGCCTTAAATAATAACGTTTAGTACTGACACAAGACATTTCAAGCCACCCTGTCACTTATTTCTAATAGTTTCAGTAACTGGTTTCACGTATGGCCCTTGCCTTTTACACCGTCCTTCCATTTTTCACACCCCCAACCGCATCCCACTTCCAAAGAATCTTGCATTCTATTTTTGTCAACGTAATACCACTAGATGAAGCAGCACATCAAGAGCTACCAACTCCTGCAAAATTCACAGTGACTTTTATGGGTGATGATGATGATTTGAAGTCAAAATTCCCAGGGTCCAATCTAACTGCGGTGTACCTCTATGCTGCCTCTCTGAGCATTGAGGAGACACGCACACAAAATGGCTGACTCATGTATTTATCCAATGGTCGCCAAGGTGGAAATGATCAGCGCTGAGACGTCCATTTATTAAGTGAACCAGTCCTTCTACAATGCTCTTCACCATCCCAGTGGGACCTCTGGAGGCCCAAAAACACTGCTGTCAATAGAAATGATACTAAAAGCTGGTATTTTGCTCTGCAGTACAGCAGCTTTCTATTTCTTCTATTAAAAGAACTTTTTTTTTTAAGTTAAGGGTGTCAAGAAACCTGGTGGTGGGCACCAAGGGAGATGGCTGGGGACATTTTGGTAATGGATGACTTTTGGAACATCTGAAGCACTTTCCATGGAATATAAATCTTACAGCATTGAATTGCCTTCTCCTGTCCCCCCAGCCGCTTCAGAACAAACAAACAAAACAAAAATGGTGGAAGATGCAGCTTCATCAAGCAAAATGTTTTATTCATGTTTTGCTATTTACGGAAATGTTATTGTAATCCTCACAAAAGACAACGGGAAGACAGCACAGAAGAACTCAAGGCTAAATGCATCAGCTCTCTGGGCTAAAGGCCAGCGTCAGTCAGAAGCATTTTTTTTTCCGCACGCAGGGCCAACATCTCCATTAGGTAGAGTGAGGCAACCAGCTCTAGAAGGACAGGCTGGAAGAACAGGGAATAGAAGCTAAGTGTTGGCAAAGGCTACCTTAACCTGGTGGCTCCAGACACCACAGAATCATCCCCTATGAAAGGGATCGTACATGGCTTCTATTATTTAACTGTTTTTTTATATTAACCATGCAAACTTCTTGGGCTGACCCCATTCATTGGATGCCCCAATGGCCCTGTTGATGGTGTACATGCGGATCTCCACCAAACACATATTCAATCAATCAGTCAGTCAGTCAGTCACAGACCCAGATGGCATAAGAGGAAACACAGTATATAATACAAAGTGCTATATAATATGCACCCATACACACTTAAATAAGAAAGATCACAATATGGCTATCATTATGGAACAAAGTTAGGGCCCAGGTATCTCAGAGACTACCTTCCCCAATAGCTTCTGCTAGCCCTACCTGAATAACTAAGGGGCGCCTGCTAAGGGTCCCCACGTATCAGAACATACAATGGGAGGGGGCCAATGGGGGGGGGTTCTCTCCTCCTTTGGAATAGCTTGCCCTTGATGCAAGGATCTCCCCCACTCTCATGGCCTCTGGAAGCAGGTAAACTGGTTTTTCCCCTTTGGGATGTAAAACACATCGTAGCTCAATAATTTCAGTACCTAATTAGGGGAATTAGATGTTGAAATTTACTGTTTTAATCTAACATTGAGTTTTATGCTGTATTCAATTTTGTAAGTCCTGGGAGCTGCCTTGAATCTGTTAGGTCTTGGGCTGTGGGCAAATCTCATAAATTAAAACAAACTAATAAACAGGGCTGAGGAGGCAAAATTGTCCTTCATTTTTTTTTCCTCCCAGTCCCGATTCAGTTGGATGAAAGCAAATTTTTCAAAGGAATTTCAGAAAAAATATTGGGGATAAAGTCTGGGGACCATGTATCAGGTGCTGTTGCCTCTCCTGGATTTCTATTACACAGATACAGCTCTTTAGCAAGTTTTACACTTGATCATACCTGACTAGATTAGAGAAATATCCCACCCACCCAGACTTGGGTGCTCCGTAGATATCTGGAATTCCAATTCCCAGAATCCCCCACTTAGCATGGCCATGGCTGAAAATTCTGGGAGTGGAAATCCAATCATCTGGACAAAGATGCCAAGCCTGGAGAAAGTTTTACACCCTTTAGGACCTATTCTGAAAAGCCATCATTCCACTATTAAAGCAACCAAGACCAGATTTTGCTTTCAGGAAGTAAGTGACCCAGGACTGAAAAGCACCTAAATGTTCTCTGTGTCTGTCTAAAAATAAAATTAGAATTAGAAATTCTATTGCGCAACATGGTTCACAAACTGTCTGAAGCTTACAGTAACATTCTGGTATCCTTTCTGACAGGCGAGATGAAGTGGTGTTGATCCGTGGTAATCCGTGGCACTGACAACAGCGCCTTTGGAGACTAGCAAATCAATTAACGAGGCTTGCCCTGTGGGAAAAGAAACCTGTTCATTACCATCAAAATTATAGCATTTCACAGTGTTTTTTTTAAAGCGTGTTGCATTTTCAGAGTCAATTCTGAGTACATAATAACTTTCTCTTATCCTTCCTGTGCAAGCTGTGCAATAACTCGTGGGCAAGTTCAGAGCCAAGCAAGAGAATTTCCAGCAATAATGGATGAAGTTAACTTATTCCTGAGGGTCAGAAATGAACACCAATTGAAGACGTGCAGCAAAGGGCATCCTTTACTTAGGAACATGGGGGCAAACTAACTGAGCAACCCCAGCACTACCAAATAAAGAACTTGCCTGCAAATGTTCAAGTCCTACAAACAGCTGACGGATGCTGCAGTGAATGACTTGATATTGCCAAGAAGACCGAAGCAGGCTTTTAGGACAATGCTCACACCTCCTCAAGGCAGGTCAAGAAATTGGAGGAGCCAAAAGGGTTTTAAAACATGTCCCCTGACAAGCTGGGACCCAAGATTATCTATTTCCCCCTGGAATAACCAAAATAATCAGAGCCTACAATTAAAAGAAAAACTCCTATCTTGCAAATTTTCAGCTACATCAGTGGGCAACCTGCGGCCTTTCTAAGGTTGCTGCGCTAGAACTCCCACCATTCCTGTTCATTCCAGCTGCATAACCCACTTGCCACTACAGTATTTCATAATTTAGGGCTTTTTCAATATCCTCCTTTAATTTTCCTAGCTCTTAATGTAAACTGCTTCATCTTTTTTTAAACACAAATGATCCTGAATATTTTTCCTTTGACATAAACGTTTCTCTGATGCAGGCTTTCAAAATACAAATTCTCCTGTTCTAAATTCACTTTTTGTATGTCACTCCTGTTGTTTACACAGAAATTTTATTAATTTTTAAATAAAACTTAGGGGTTTTTTTTTAATATTTGTCAGAGACAGTGTGCCTATTTTTATTGGAGAAAGTGAAATACAAGTGGACTTGGTATTTGCCCCCAAATGGTAGTAGAATATCCCAATTCATTTCCAGCAAAATTAATGGAAGAATTCTTTTGGATCCCTACTTCTTTTTCTTTTCTTTATTTATTTTGCAAATGTATATGGCTGCCCATCTTCATCTAATAACTCAGGGTGGTTAACCAAATATAAAGCAAAACCAAACATATAATAGCAGTAA